ATATTCTGATTCATATTCAGATTTATGATGCCATATTCTGATTCATATTCAGATTTATGATGCCATATTCTGATTCATATTCAGATTTATGATGCCATATTCTGATTCATATTCAGATTTATGATGCCATATTCTGATTGTATTCAGATTTATGCCATTTATATTCTGATTCATATTCAGATTTATGATGCCATATTCTGATTCATATTCATGACATCATTCATATTCTGATTCATATTCAGATTCTGATTCATGATGTCATTAATATTCTGATTCATATTCAGATTTATGATGCCATTCATTTTCTGATATTCATATTCAGATACATATTCTTCATTTTATTATTCATATTTATGATTTCATTCATATTCTTATACATATTCATTGTTTTGTTCATTTTTAATACAAATTCATGATTTCATTTTTCATATGATTCATATTTGCATACATATTCATATTCATATTTGTGATTTCATTATTGATATTTATGGATTCATTCATGTTTTACACATTAATATACACTATAGGTATTCTGATGTTACATATTTCTATTCATGCTGTCAATCATATTCCAATACATATTCAAAAAGTAAATCATGTTCTAATTCATATTCAAATTCATGATATTCACATTCATATTCCTGATTTTAGTATTCATATTCAGGATTTCACTGTTCATATTCTAATACATATTAATATTCATGGTGTCATTAATATTTAGACACATATTCATGATTTTATTCTTTGTTTTCATGATTTTATTGATATTCACTGTATGGTCAGCTTTAATGAGTAGGTTTGAGGTCAAATCATAATTCTACACACAGTGAGATTCTAGAGGATTCTGAAATGAAACATTCATCATGTGTCTGTGATGTTAATTTGGCCACATCGTTTTCCTGTGTAGTGAATGTAATTTATATGTGTGTCTGTGTGAGATCTGAAATAAACATTGATCCGTCATTGACTGCTGTGTTCCTGTTGATCACAGACTCCGTACTTCTGGCCGTCAAACTGCTGGGAACCAGAAAACACTGACTATGGTAAGAGTGTGTGTGTGAGAGTGTGTGAGTGTCTGTTAGTGTGTGTGTGATTGTTAGTGTGAGTGTGTGAGAGTGTGTGAGTGTGAGTGTGTGAGTGTGTGTGTGTGTGAATGTGAGTGTGAGTGTGGGAGTGTGTGTGTGAGTGTTAGTGTGTGTGTGTGTGTGTGTGTGGGAGTGTGTGAGTGTGTGTGTGTGTGTGTGTGT